TCTAATCTTCAAGACATCCCAGAGAAAGTAGTGTTTACCTATCAATATTTTCTTCCTAATCATGACTGAGGAGTTTGTGGGTCTGATGAACTTCCATATATTCAAGAAGAAATTATAACTTTATAGACTCTTTCAAGATGTGTTATATTTCCTTTATTGATAATTTAGAATACGCTGTCCATACTAAGAAATAGGGTCTTTCGTTTGACATTTATTGTCTAATAGGCGAGAAAATAGGAGGCTTACAATGAATTAAGATGAGCTCAAAATCTTTTATTAATTTACATTCACTATTTCCATTGTGCAGAACAAAGAGACATGCATTATTTTCAATAAAATTTCAAATGTTCACAGATAGCAGAACCACTGAAACAACAGAAAGCAATTTATCAGCCCCAAAGGAATCACATTCAGCCCAAGTGGTGCCCAAATGTTTGGTTTACATACTTCCTTGCCCCTTCATTTGACAATTACAGTTCCAATGTTTTTTTCAGAAATCAACTCCTCCACCATTCTCATTAGTGATTTAGATGAGGCTGATACAATTTAACTGACCCCACAAGAAAAGCTGATTACTACAGCTGTCCAGGAACATGAACCTCAATGCGTCAACTGAAATTATTGGAAAAGTGATGTGTTTTCTTTCTAGAAATGTTAAGCTAGAAAAATGTAAGTCTAGAGTTGTTGATGACCAAATGTTCTAGCATTTGGGAAGAGTGTAGTGAAAAGATATCAACATTAGAAAGATAGTACCAAGAAATAGAGACAGAGTTCTTATTACCTGGTTGCATTTCCTTGATCCTCATGATGCAAAATATCTTTCTGAAGTGGTCAGTTACATGATCATAAAACCACTTTGAATCATTTTCTTCTTTGCCCACAAATGAAAATGTCCCAATTCACAAACAACCAACTCATTTTATCTGTTATTTGGAGAGCATCTTGAAGTTCTTTTGAACCCAATTAATTGAATACTGACTGGCGTTACTCCTAATAGTGTTGCCATTGCCTCAATTCTGGTAAAATTCAACTTTGCTAGAGAAATTTTAAAAATAGGCTATGAGCCAGCAAGAAAAATATTTTTCAATTCACCAGACAAATCTAGACTATGAAAACAACTTGAGCTTAATCTTGAAGAAATCCATTTACGTTTTAGGAAAAGAGAACAGAGTTCGTTTAAAGAGATTTATTAGTGTCAAGAGCCACACTATAAAACTTTGCTTGAAAGTTTTTAAAGAGTAAACATATTATATACATATAATCAGAGAAAAACTGACATCATTTGTATCTAAGGAAACTGGAAAACAACCAGCAAAGGAAGAGACAGGGTTAATGCTAGAAACATAACGAGAGAAGATATGGGGGAAGAAGATATTTTCTACCCTATACAAGCCTTGGATTACATTTTCAACAGTCTAAACATGCTAGACCCATTACATGGGACAGAAACTCTAGTTTAGTGATCTCCAAGTTTTTCGTCATCCATCTCATTATGATACAATTTTGGGGGAAATAGTCATATATATATATATATATATATATATATATATAGAGAGAGAGAGAGAGAGAGAGAGAATATATACTTATCTACAAATTATGTACTTTTAAATTTATGATTCACTAATATTTTAAGGCAAAATATATTCTTAGAGTGAGGTATAATCACTAAGCATAGTGGAAATAGATATAGTTTTTTCAAATAGTCTTTATTTTGTTTGGTTTGGTTCAGATGCCGGATAGCTGCTTTTCCAAACTACAGCAATGAGATCAGTAGAGTTTTTGTTTTATACACAAATGACAGATGAAAACCTCATATCAGAAATAAAAAGCCAACTCTGTTACTTTATACAGTTTGTTTCTACTTACATTATTATTACAATCTTTAATGTTTAGCTTATTAGTATATGTTTACCATGCATAATAATTATATTCATTATGGGGAACTGGCAATACGCATTTTGTATCTTAATCATTTTTTGCACACATTTTAAAAAATTTTATTTAAGGAGAAAAAAAACAAAACAGAAAAAAAGAGTAGAACAATACAGAATTCCAAAATAAATAAGTAAATAAATAAACACTAGTTGATAAATTACATACTGTCATCTTAGAAATAGTTGTTCAAGTTACAAAATTAAAGCATACAAAGTGAAAATTCAAACAGTGAGACTGCAAACAGTTCTGCTCAATGATCCAACAAAAACTTAGTAATATGGTCATCTATCTTACACACTTAAACATACATGCAGTTATATCGTTCAGAGCACTTTCTTTTCCTCTCTTTTTACAATAGCAATTACACAGCTTGGGTTTTATTACTCCTACAGTTCTCACTACCTTTTACACTAGAGACACAATGTAATATTTAAAATATGATTCTTATTTATTTCACTTATGAGGATAGTCTCAAGTTGCCTCCATTTACCTATGAATGCCTCAAGATCACCCTTTTTATAGATGAGTAATATTCCATTGTATAAAAATACCATATTTTTTCATCCATTCTGCAGTTGATGGGCATTTGGGTTGTTTCCAAGATTTAGCTATCACACATTGTGCTTCTATGAACACGGGTGCACATATATCACTGTGATATGACCTTTTCAATTTTTTTTCTGAGAAAATATCCAAGAGGGGAATAGCTGGGTTGAATGGAACTTCGAATCCTAGTCTTCTGAGAATTCTCCATGCTGATCTCTATACTTGTTGCACCAGTCTACACTCTCGCCAAGAATGTAGCAGTGTTCCTTTTCCCCTGCAGCCTCACCAACATTTGTTGTCCCTTCCTCACATACCATCTTTCCCCATCTTGCTTTTCCCTTTACATATCTCCACAAATTTCATCTCCCTGTTTCCTGCCATATAGATTTTCATTTGATTTTAAATTATTTATATTTTCTCATAAGAGAAACCATGTGATATAACCTTCTAAATCTGATTTATTTCACATAGTATTATGTATGCAAAGGTGCACCTATTCTCACAGAAAAGACTCAAATTTATGCTTTTTTATGGCTAATGCAAATCAAAACAACACTGAAATTTCATCTTACTCCAGAAAATGGCTATCATTAGAAACTCAAAAAACAACAAATGTTGGCAAGATTGTGGGAAAAAGAAATCTTTCCATATTGTTGATGACAATGTATGACCAAAATGGGAATTGGTATAGAATTTCATAAAAAGCCTACCTCTTCTGTATACATTACAGAAAGAGTTAAAGACATCACATTACAGTGATACATGCTCTAGTGGCTTGGCTGTGGAATGACTCCTAAGCCTCATGAGCTCAGGGGCAGGGCTTGAGAAAGATGACTGGATTATGGAGACACTACAGCTGAGTTGTCGTTAGGAGGTAGGTCCTTGTAAGAGACAGGTCATTGGGGATGTCACCTGGAAGGGTGTGTCTCCCTTCCAGTCTCTGCATTCTCTCTCTGCTTCCTGGCCAGCCTGAGGTGAGCAGCTTACTTCCCCTGTAGGCCCCTTCACCAATGCCATCCCTTTAATGGAATTGACTGACCAATTCTAATCTGTGGGCCAAAATGAACCTTCTCTAAGTTGTAGGATTCAAGTATTGTGCCTTAGCACTGAAAAAACTGACTTACGACATATGCACACCCATTTTTATACATATATAATACATATATAATTAGTGTGATCTTCAAATCAAAATTGCTTTAAAAATATTTATTAAGCCATATACTTATTTTTAAAAGTTTATTTATTAGATATATAAATATGATTCATTAATGCACTGATGTGGGCATATATAAACTGCAGTAAATCACAATGTTTTGAAAGAAAATAGATGAGTTTCTAGTTCTTGAGTTCTTACACTTTCCCTGGAAAATCTTGTAAACTTTAAGTGGCATAAGACTCTGACATATTAATGGTGGAGAAAGGCAGCTAGATGGAAAAGTATACTTAAGATTTACATGGTTTAACCTACTTGGTCTGTACCTGAAAAATACTGAAAGTGTCTAAAGAGAGAATGAGAATGCAAGTCCTCAATAGACAATGAGAAACTCAGAAAAAAACACAACGAAAAGTATTCCCAGAGAGAAAGCCTGTGGGAAGATGTCCTCAGGCTAATCATGAACTGATTCTTGACTTCAGCACTAGTTGACAATACAGGGTTCTGGGTCATCAGTATTACTTAATAGATGGCTAATAGGAACCAGAATGGCAAACACATGGAAATCAATACACTGAGAGATTAGTCCACCTCAGCCAAAGGAAGAAAACTAATACAGATCCAGAGCATAAGCCTTTTGCTTATAAAAGTTTTGGTGTATACTTTGATCTCTATCAAAATCACCACATTTACTATGTATTTTGAACTCCCAATGAGCTACTGAGCATCACAATGAGATAGGAACCACTATTTTTAGTGCACACTCATTTTCATTTTAGTTTCATTTGACCCTTTCCTCATACCATTGATTCTTCTTATACTAGTCATACGTTGGTCTCAAAGAGCTAGTTCTGTCTGGCAGTTAATTTTCAATAAGTTATGTTGATTAACATATACATTGCATAGTAATGGTATGCAGTATTTCAAACCCTAGAGAGCTTAGTTTCTAATTTTTTTTTTAATTTTCATTTTTGCCAGCCACAGTTAAAGACTACAAAATCTCTTAGTAACAAGATGGTGAACCTTTAATGCATTTTCAGACACTATGATAAACAATGAGGGAAATGTTTCATTCAGGGGACTTTTTCAACAATGTGAATCATACTACCTAGGCTCATTTAGGAACAATTCTGTGTTAAGCATGGAGGTTAGATATTTACTGTGCAAATACTATTGGAAGAACATATTACTGCCATATTCTTTCCCCCTTGGACAACAGTTGACTGTTTTGTGTACATTAGCATGTTTAATAATCTTGACAATCACATGTGGCCTAATCTTATAATTCCCCCACTACTATAGGAGCAAATTAAAATCCAAAGAGTTAAAGAATTTAGTGAGAGTCTATAGATAATTATTGGCATACCTGGCATTGAAGTCAACTGGTTTCCAGTGTTCAGGCTGTTAAAACTGTACTCCACTACCTATTGGGAATGAAACACACTTATTAGTGCTGTTGGCATTAAGCTGCAAACAACAGAAGAGACAGAGTCCTCCTCAGGTTCATGGACTCTGGTCATCACCACTTGTCTTTATATATCCAACTATGTTAGAGGTTTCTCAGGTGTCTTACTCTCACAGAATACATAGGAAACTGTTTAAAATACTATTTGAGGTTCTTGTAAGAGTTCAAGAGTACAGGCAGGATTTGCAACTTTCAGGCACACACTGTCCATCTTCCCCACGATCCAGAGCACTGAGAACTTCATATCAATTCTACTATTTTATTTTCTAATTTCTTTTCACCAATGATAGCACCAACCAGTGCTAAGCTCTGGCCAAGTAATGTCTATTTTTCTAATATTTAATGAGACCTATTGATTTCAAGGCTCATAACATTTTGGAGGATCCCTTTTGTCAAGAATGAGACATTAACTCTTCACACAGTGAAGGACTGTTGGCTTAAATTTCCAATTAAGTATGCAGAGGTGAAAAGTTTTGAAATAAGTAGCAAGATGATGTGAATTCTTTGGAGAGATGTTAATGTGGTGTTCCATTACCATTGGAAGAAATGAACCAATTCATTATCTTGTAGATGCTAGAGAGAATTTCTTACCCCTTTTATACTACAATAAACATTCTTGATGAGACTATTTTATTCCAGAGCCTTCTAAGTCAGTCATACTTCCTGCTTTTAAAAGTCCATTAAAAACAGGAATTCTTATGAAGAAAATGGACAAAACAATTGAGTAGACATTTCTGAACAGATATATGAATACTAATCTTCAGGAAAATACAAATTAAAACCATAATGAAAAATTAACTCACACATTAAAATAGCTACTTCAGAAAACAAGCTAAGCAAAACAAAACAAAAGACAACTAGTGTTGGCAAGGATATGAAGGAAAATGAGTCTATAACTGTTGATGAGAATGTATGATACAACTACAAAGGAAAAGAATACAAAAGTTCTTCAAAACACTAAAAATAGAACTACCATGTAGTTCAACAATCCCACTTCTGACTCTATTCACAATAATAGAAATCAGGATGTCCAAGTAATGTCTCCTGCCCGTATTCAATGCAGCATTAGTCATAATATCCATGGAAAGAAAGTAAGAAATAAAGAAAAAGGTTTTGTGTATTTACACACACACATACACACAGAGATATTATTCAACATCAAAGAAGGAGGAAGTATTATGATTTGTGACAACAATACTGTGGTGAACTTGGAGGACACTGTGCTGAGTAAAACAAGCCAGACACAGAAAGACAAAACCTACATTTACTACTTACATGAGGAATCTAGAATAATCAAACTCATATATGTACAATGTAGAATGGTAGTTTCTAGAGCAAGGGTGACAGAGGAAACAAGAGATATGAGGTTGTTTCATTTAAACAAGATGAGTAAATCTTAGAGATCTATTGTACTGCATAATGCCAGAACAACACTGTATTACATACTTATCATTTTGCTGCGGATAGATCTTATGTTAAGTGTTCTTATCACAAAATAGTAAACAAATAATGAGGGGGAAGAAGCATTTGGAAGGGATGGATAAGTTTGTGACATAGATTGTGTGATGGTTTCATCAGCATATAGGGATCACCAATTCATTGTTATATGTATTAAATATGCACAGAATTTTGTATGTTATATCTCAAAAATTTAAAATAATATTCTGCTTGCAAAGGCTTAGGAAGGAGTCACTGGAAGTTCTTATTTAATTGTTGCATCCAGGGATTTAGCTTAGCGGTATAAGTGCCTGCCTGGCAAGTACAAGGTTGTGAGTTCAATCCTTCATACAAAAAAAAAAAAAAAAAATTCCAGCGTTTCATTCGGGGAAGATGAAAAATTTCCAAAGGTGAATGGTAGTGATACAGGTACAGCAGTGTGAATGTACCTAATGTTATTGAACTGGAGACTTAAAATGGTTGAAAAGTTTAATTTTATGTTATGTAAATCTTACCACAATTTAAAACTTATAAAGTCTAAATAAAGTTTGAAGTTTTGTTAATAAGAAACAAAATCAACAACAAACTAACACTCAGTAATACAAAAGAACATGCACCTCATGATAAAACTAGCCCAATTAACTGTGGTCTGGCCAGCACCAAGTATTGCATGTTTGTCATTTCTTTAATCTAGATCAGAGATTTTAATAAGCACAATTCTAATCTCACACTAAGACAATGGCACTTTCTGAGTGTTCAGTATGCAAAGCATTGATCTTAAGTATCCCCTCCCTATTTATCAACTCATTTAATCATTCTTATAATGGTATAAAGTAAATAATATTACTAACCTTGTTTTACTGAAAATATATTGAAGCATGAAGAGCTAACAGCATTATGTGCTTCTAAATTTTTCAATAGTAAGTTTGTGGTCCACTATAAATCCCAGATATTTTTTTCCTTGCTCACAAGCAGCTCCTCATTTCATTGGCCCTCATTGCTATGATTCCTTATTTTATAATCTATTTTACTGGTTCTTCCTCCCAGCTTGGAATAAAGATTTAAAATTTTATCAGGTCTTTTTATTAGTACAAACATTTCAAAATCGCTACTTACATGGTATTTGAATATATTCTTTTCTGGGTTATTTAGCACTTAAAGTCAACATGTTAGGGTAGCATGAGACGTAGCCCTGCTCAAACAACTGTGTAAGCCAACTTTATCCTTCATACATCACTGCAATTAAAAATAGCAGCTCTTGTGATGATAGGTTTTAACAGGGAGAGACTGTTTTGATTGGGGAAGAAAATATCCAGTGAGAGATGTTGAAAGATGATTAGGAAAACACTGAACACTGATTTCCTTGCTAGGTATTTTAGCTCAGGTCCACCTAATCAATAAGTTCGCACTTTTATTCTGCCACTGACAACCCTCCCTAAGACCCCCAGCTGAGTTCTTTTCCATGTCTAGCTCTTAAGACTATGGAGATAATTCTCAAAAATTCAGCTTCTAAATCTGGTAGGAAGAGAACCGAAACAGCAAGAGATCAGGAAAGCCTTTGAGGAGAAGAATATCTTCAGGAAATCAAGATGATTAATTTGCACAAGAGAGGGATCCTTTACGCATCCCATCTTGTTCAAAATAGCAATAGCAGTTGTACTAAGTACCAAGAGCTGATCCAAACAGTAAAACAGCATTGTTATCCCTCACTTATCGGTGACACAATTTTAAACTAAGAGAGATAAAATTTGTACAGTGAATCAGTAGTGAAGTTTCCTGTCTGATTATATGCTTATTTACTCATCACAAAACCATTTGTTTCTTACATAATAACTCCCACAATTTGTATTTACCTTATTTACTTACTGATTCTCCAATTGGACTATCAATTGCACAAGGAAAGAGAACTATATCTGGCTTCATTCCACTTTATATCTCCTGTGTCTAGCACACTATCTGTATCTAATTTAGTGTTCAGTGAACTTTATGAAAGAAAGGGAAGCAACGAGCAAAAAGAGCTAAAATCCAGGCAGATATAACTTCAGGGTATATATTCTTAACCTCTAAATTACACTATTGTGTTACCATGGATTGCCAGTACCACATGTCCAACTCCCTGGATCAGTCGTTCACAAACTCCACAATAAACTCTATGCAGTATATCAAAACAAGCAAAGTGAGAACAGGGAGATCTCCTAAAACAGTAGATGCTATCTTGTTCCATTTGCCTTTGGCACAGTTCAATTCCAGCAAACACTGTTCCAACTGGAACACACATTCCAACAAAGCAACTTACACATAGGGTAGGCTTAGGAGGCATTTTGCACAGTAGACCCACATGTTCCTTGAGAAACAGATACATCAATGTACTTTTCCTGTGTTGTACCAATCTCAATATAAAATGTTTATTTCAGCCTCCATCTCCCTTTTTGATTAGTCTTGTTTCTAAGCCCTCAGTGGTTCTGCTATGAAAAGCTGTTAAAATTAAATGTACATTTTCCTGATTAAATCCCTTCCTGCATTTCCAAGCTTTCGGTTGTCTATTTATGACTGTGTGCTTCATTTTACAAAGTTCTATTTCTAGGCCACTAATATCATCTCATGCAGTGAGATGTATTCAGCACTTCATGTGGTGTCATTTTCTGAAGAGGGTGAAGTCTCATCTCAAATGCCTTACTATTCTTTTTTTTCCACAGAGCATCTTAGAATATATAAAATAACTGTTTTGAAGGAAAAGCTCCTTTTTATTTTTGCCATTCCAATTGCTGGATTCTAAATAGTGATGAGGGAATATATGTCCCATGATACAGTTATTAGGAAAAGAATCCCTCACTTTTAAGGAAAATTTGAAATTCTCTAGGACTTTGTGAAGTCCAAGCTAAAAGGCTTTTTCTTAAGTTCTCAAAGGAGTTGAGAAATACAAGGGCTGTTATCCTTTTTGGCTCCCTGGATAGGATGTTTTGAAACCCATCTGAAAATTTCCCTGGGGACTTAAAGGATGCAACCAACTGGTTAGGTTAACTGATTTGTGGTGCTGTCTTTGTGGCTTTCCCACAGGTTCAGGAGGGTTCAGGTTGAATACAAGATGACAAGATCCAGAGATTTCTGATTTTCAGGAAAGTAAGCAAGCAGACTGGATGATATAATGAAAATGCAGTAATGTACAAGAAAAAGATGTGTGTGCTCTATATAGCAATATTTTCAACATTCTTGTAGTTGCTGATCCAGATCACACAGAACCTACCATATTTGCATGTTGCTACAAAATAAAGGTTGCATGATACTATGTGATTTAGGAATTATAAAAATTATGGTTATAATCCTAGAACTGTGGAATGTTGAGGCAGGAGGATTGTAAGTTCAAGCCAAGCCTCGGCAGCTTGACAATTTATCAAGATCCCGTCTCAAAAAATATATATTTAAAGAAAAGTGCTGCAACTCAGTGTGAAGATCCTGGGTTAAATACACACTACCAAATAAATAAACAAATATGATGAGTATATATGCATTTGACATATGCAA